CGGCCCGCCCTGGCTCGTGAACAGGCGGCATGGCCCCGTGGGGTGGACTTGGCCTCGCGTCCCCAACACGTGGCCACGGCCAGGGGTGCTGGCCAGCACAGCCGGCAGGGTCCTCCCGGGGCCGCAGGACCTCGTGGGAAGGACGCCTTGCAGGCCCACGGCCTCGGCTATGGAATGCCCCTCCAGCTGCACAAACCCCAGTGGGGGGTGGGCACAGGTGAGGGGAGGCTCGGGACCCCATGGTTCCACTGGCTGGGCACACGCGGTCAGCCTCCAGAGAGGCCCGGCCTCTCTACCAGGGGCAGAGAGTGGACAGGCGCCAGCCACCCAGGCCCAGAGTCCAGCGAGACTGCGAGGGAGTGGCTGGGCCACACGCTGATACTGGGCATCCCTCCCTCCCTCCAGGTCCACTGCGGTCTCAGGACAGCCGTGGAGTCGCCCAGGCCGCTGGGACACCAGCCACCTGCTACCCTCCCTGCCTGCCCCTCAGACAGATAATATCTGAAAACAACAGCAAACAGAAAACGAGATGCTTCTGCCCTCAGTAAATCCTGTTCTGAGAAAAACAACGTGTTGTTTCATGGTGTGTTTTTTTAAAGCCACAAATCTAGAAAACAACTTTGGGGACTTTTCCTTTTCTTTGTTTTCCTTTTTCTTGCTTTTTTTAAACAATATGTATTTATAGAAAGAACCTCACAAAGGCGACTATGTACAGAGACAATCTCAGAGGCTGCTCGGAGCGCTGCAGTAGCACCTTTTCGAGAAGAGGACAGCTTGCGTGGTGGGTCTGAGCGTCACGGCCCCGAGCCCGCCTGGCCCTGCTCCCTGAGTCCGGGGCGCGTCCGGCGTCCCGCCAGCTCCTGTCGCCCTCGAGGGTGCCGCGGGCGGGGGGCCAGGACAGGAGTCCGCAGCGACAGCCGCATCGCAGCCTGCCGGTCCTAGAAGGGGCCCCCGGGCCGGGCCTGTGCCTGCAGGAGACTCTCCACGAAGGCCAGGTAGTCCGGGCTCCGCCCCGCGTCCTCAGCAGCCAGCGGGGTGCCCACGCGCGGGCGCTTGGCAGCCTTGGCCTCCTCCCCTGGGAAGGCGGGCTCCTGTGGCGCCCCCGTGCTCAGCGACTGTGGAGGGCGGAGGGCAGGGGTCAGCGCAACGAGGGACCGGCCAGTCACCTCCGGGACAAGCCAGACGCGCGCCGCCCATCACCCCCTGGCCCCAACCTGTGCGTGGCGGTGTCTGCAGCTCCCCAACCCTTCCCGGGCCCTGGCCCGGGTGCGTCTGTGGGGCTCACCACTGCTCACAACCACGTCCGCTAAAAGGGAGGATGGCCCTGGAGCTTTGGGATGCCCCCTGCCCTGGTCGTCTGGGTGGTGACGGCCTGGCTTGGAGGGCCCTGCTTCTAAGTCAGCAGCTGGGAGCCGGGGCTCCGCTTGCTCGGTGTGTGGAGGCCAGGCCCTGGGGGCGCAGGGGGCTGCTGCTTGCGGGCTCTCACGACAGTCCCCTCCTCCTGTCCCTGGTGACCCCCACGTTAGGCCAAGGAAGGTGCTGGTGGAGGCGAACGGGTGAATGGCACCCGGGGTGACCCCCAGCGGGATGGCCGGGGCGCCACGCAGGCGGCAGAGGCCGAGGAGGTGGCCGACGCCGGCTGAAGGTACGGCCCCTCTGAGAAGCGGCCCAGGGCCCTGGCACGGCGGTGCGGCCCGGGGACACTCACCAGCCGTGACCGGACCCGTTTGGGGAGCTCCTCCTCCAGGGTGAAGATGTCCCCACGCTTCACAGTCAGCTGGGATCCGTCCTCGAACTCCACCTGCCAAGGGAGCACAGGGCTCAGGGTTGTGGCTGCCGCCTGGGCCCTGCCCGGTAGAGGGCCCAGTGGCACATGGCACGAGCTGGCGCCAGGCTAGAGCTCAGCTCACAGCCACCCAGCAGCTTCTGGGGGGAGACAGAGGCCCCACATGTCACCTGCCCAAGCTCAAGCTGGGGTGATCGACGCGTCTGTCTCTGTGAAGACAGCCCGGGCCGGGAGCAGAGACCGTGGGGCGGGCACAAAGAACACGGAGGAAGTGGCGCCCAGCCGGGCTCTCTGGCCCTTGTGGCGGAGTGGGAAGCCCAGGGGCTGAAGGCTCTGGTGGCAGGGAACTCGCTCTTCACATTCCAAAGCTCAAAATGAGCGAGGCGTGAAGACGTCTGCAGTCCAAGCTGCACAGAGGCTGAGGTGGGAGGATGGCCTGAGCCCAGGAGGCCGAGGCTGGGGGAGCTGTGATGCAACCACTGCACTACAGCCTGGGACACAGAGCGAGACCCTCACTCAAACAAAACAAAAAACCAAAAGCCCCTCAAACACTTAGGGCGTCAGTGTGGGTGTGTGTCACCCAGAAACCTGGGTGCACGGAGTTCACGGGAGCCAGGCAGTGAGGTGCTGGGGGAGGGACTGGTTGGCTGCAGCTCCCCATCCCAGAAGCGCAGACCCTGCCTCAGGCGGCCCCTAGGCCATGCTTGCTGTCGCCGAGACCCTCGGTGAGGACAGAGACAAGGGTGGGACGCCTGTCGTCCGGCCCGGTCAGGAGCCTAGCTGGCGAGTCCTGGCACGGAGGCCGAGGCGGCTGGTGGTCCTCTCGGCCACGTCCTGGGTGGGGAGCCGCAGGCACCCACGTGTCCCTCCGCCTGGTCTGGGAAGTGGAGCCCCCAGGGTCGACCCCTCCCAGGCCTTGGGAGAATCGGGGCGAGGGTCCCACATCAGGCACTCAGCCATCCCGTCCCTGCGGCTAGGTCTCAGCTCCACAGGGCAGCGGATCCATGGGGCCTAGAAGCCGCCCGCCACGTCCCACCCGCTTCTAGTGGGCACTCATGCCGCGGCTGAGTCACACAGAAACCAGGCGCCCTGGGAGGCCAGTGAGTTCCAGAAGCTCAGGAGCTGGCTCAGGTTTCTGGGCCAATGGAGCTGGGGGGTGCGCCCCAGATTCATAGAGGAAGCGCGAGGCTCACCCACTCGGGTGGCCATGTGGCTCTGGGGAGGATTCTGTGCTCAGGCAGCAGGAAGCGGGGGCCGCTGGGCTTCCCCCAAGGATCCACCTGGCCCCATGGCAGGCGTGACGCTAGCAGCTGCCCACTAGCTTTCTGGGGAAACTAGATTCACTTGCAGTGGGAGACGTCACAGGTGCCAGACCCGGGGCCAGTCCCTCGCAGTGACACCTCACGCGGTAGCTCCTCACACACCTTCGGGGCACCTTGGGGTCACATCTGAGGGAAGGTGCTTTGGGCACGCTGATGGTCAGGTGGCATTCGGAGCTCTGTCCAGGGTGTGCTGGGCGGCACCAGGGACCACGGGCCAGGAGCCCCTGCTGTCAGCGGGCCCCAGTCACAGCGCTTAGTTGGGTGGTGTGTGCCGGCAACTCTGAGGCCATTGCCTCCCTGGCTATCGATGCAGAGGGTGGCCCCAACCTGCGACCCAGCACGTAGTTCCACCAAGGTGCCCCACACCTGGCTAATTTTCTCATTTTTTCCCCCACCCCTCCCATCTTCGGATTTTTTGCAGCGATGAGGCCTTGCTATGTTGCCCAGGCTGGTCTTGAACTCTTGGCCTTAAGTGATCCTCCTGTCTTGGTCTCCTAAAGTGCTGGGATGGTAGGAACGAGCCACCATGCCCAGTTCATTTGTTTTGGTTTTTGGGACAGGGTCTCACCCTGTCACCCAGACCACAGCTCACTGGTGCCTCCAACTCCTGGGCTCAAGGGAACCTCTCATCTCAGCCTCTCAAGGGGCTGGGACTACAGAGCCAGCTGCAGGGGTCACCACTTTCTCCTGATCTGACACCCCGAAGGGCTGAACTCAAACGTCTGCTGAGGACTTGGGGTGTGAGGCAGGGGACAGAGCCCTGCTCACTCCCTGCCAGGGATTCTCAGAGCTGTCCTGAACCTCATCCCAGCCCTCGAGGGGCCATAAGAGGGACAGGGGCGACAGAAGAATCGCTGGTGCTCACAGGTGTCATGCAGAAAACAGGCCAGGAAGCCTCAGAGACCTGGTGGCCAGCCTCAGGTGCAGGGTGCCAGGACTTTCCTTCTAAAATCCCGCCCTCTAAATAATTCCTCTTCCACAGTCAAGCAAAGACACTCACAGCCAGGTGGATTAAAAATCCCAGGGGCCCTGAACTGTGCGCTTAAACATGACAAAGGCAGTATACGTTGCGGGAGCCCACCACGCCATGACCCGGGGCGCCTCTAGGAGGCTCACGCGGACAGGCAGGGTCCTCCAAGTCCTGAGCCTCCTGCATAGGTCGCGGTCCCGCTCACCTGGTAGATGTGGCTGGTCATGGAGGAAATGAACTTGGCCTTGTAGAGGTTGCCGTCTGTCCACCGCAGCTCCACCAACTCGCCCTCGGGAGGGGGACCCAGCCGCACGCAGTCCCTGCTCTGGGGGCAGGACAGGCGGAGTGAGGCCCACCCACCCGGGGACCCCTGCCCCACCCAGCCTGGGGCTCTGAGCCGGCCAGCGAGTCCCTGCTGGGAGCCCCTGGGGG